GCAACGAACAATGTGCTTCTCGATCCGGGGCCAATTGTTGCAAACATGAATATATCACGGCTTCCGCAAAACGGCCAGCGAGGGCCAGTGGCGCCGACGACTCCGAGTTTGAGGCGCCGGGAGGGGACTCACGTACCCGAGGCGGAAGAGTGGACACCCGTGAAGAGCTGTGTGCTGGCGAGAGAGGGGGTTGGCGTCTCATGCGGGCCAATTGTTTAAGCCTAACAGGCTTTACAGGCGGAAGCATCGGTGCAGAGCCGACGTGAGTTCTCAGTTTTCCGGGGCTTTCGGCGTCACGCTTTTCTGGACAGGATTTGAGCGGGACCGAGGCTCTGGTGCTGACAGCTCCATAATCACTGTCTGAGAAGGAAGCAAGTGTACAGCGAGGAAAGGAGAAAAGGTTGTTTGAGAGTTGGCAGGTATTGAGACACGGGACGGACGACTCACCCGAGCCAATTGTTTGAGCCTGACGGACTTAACGGGCGAAATCGTTGGTTCAGAAGTGACACGGGCTGGCAGTTTTGTTGTATGCTCCGTCTGATGCCATTCTGCATCGTATGTAAACTGCATTTGTTTTACCCGAACCGATCCGCGCTGCGCTCGGATCTCACAATTTAGGTGTCGCCGCTTCAAATGGTCATCAAGTGCATCCGCCCCGGCACGTTCAAGCACACCATCGAGACCGTGACAAGACGCGAGAGGCGCAGGCGGCGCTGTGTTTGCGTCTGCAAGGGGGCAGCGCGTGTCGCGTTTCTTTTTTCGCACCAACCTGTGTCGTGCAGCGTCTCGACGCAGGTGCTCGGCCCGAACGTGCTCGGTTTCATTCGATTTCCTCGTTTGCGCTGCGGCCCGTCTTCTGCATAAACGCGCCTCCTGCTTCGCAGCAGCCCTGGCGCGCGTCTGCTCTGTATTACCCCCGCCACATAACGCGTCACGAACAAGACCGAACAAGCGGTCCGCTATGTGGCGCGGCCGGGAGAGAAGTGGCGACCTGTGTTCATGCATCCGATGGTGAAASAACAGGGACATACAGGCGYTGCAGATGCAAACCGACCCTCGTAGCGCGTTGTGTTGTCGATTTTGTGTCGGTGTTATCAACGTGTGCAGTGYTGAGAGAGGGAAAAAGAGAGGGTGAGGGAAAAGATGTACAATCATGCAATGGCTCTGCCACATTYAGCATYGGGTATAGATAGCGTCCTCGTCTTAAAAAGTAGTACAAATGCGATACAGTCTGCGTCGCCCAGCTGCCGGCTCCGGCGAAATGGCAGCAGCCYTGATTGCGCCCGCACAACAAACACAGCATTATATYATGCGTAAACATATCTRAGGCGTGTAAACACGATCCAAGGACCGCAGCAAATATAACGAGTTTTGTAAAAGCCTGATTTTGTGCTAACCGCACAAGCAATTTTTTCGACGGTGTGGTCAGTAGAGGTCAAATATGGAAAAGAATGGGTCGAGCACACACTGGCGTCACATTACCTGTATGCAAGTGTCGACTGCACCTGCGAGTAGAACCACAAAGAAACACCCAAGCACAAATACAAAGATAATTAGACAAAGAAAGGAAACTGCGAATACACATTGGCAGGAATGGAATGCAAATATGGGCATACATAAATGGCACACGCCAAACCGATTCTTCTTGTAGCAGATGACCAGATAATAGGTAATAGAAAGAGAGGCGAAAGGGGAAGGGGAGGGCGGGGGTGGGGGCGGGGGCGGGGGGGGGGGGGGGGGGGGGGGGATAAAAAAGGGCGCAGCGGCGAAGCGAACGCGCCCTGTGGCGGAGCTTGGAAGCCACATGCGTATGCAGTGTCACTTGGAGGCTAAACGGTCGGCGGCGGGAAAGATGTGATGGACGATGCAAAAAGCTCATCATAAAGATGACGTCTGTGCTTCGGAATATCCAAGTGCGAAAAAACGTCAACATGAGACGATGTCGGTGATGTCAACAAAAAACGCAGAATCGCAAGCATGAACACGCCGCAGTCATTGTAGTTATATTGGATCAGCCCGTCGAGATAAACGACCCGTATGAAGAGAGGCAAGTGCGAAATCACGGTTTCTCTTTCCAGCCATGCAAGTAAATCACGGAAAACAGACAAATGCTGATCACCGTAGCTGTCGTAAATACAAATGGTTGAATCTTCGACAAGGAWACATGCCAGCGCCCAATGGCTGTTATTCAGATACAAAGGGAAGAACCAGCGTTTGAAGTGGGAAAATGGTAGGCCGGCGGCGCGTGGAACGAGCAAATCATGTGTGAAATGATAGTCCAAGAAAGCAATCGCGAATTTGTATGTATAGCATGATGCAAAGAACACGTCAGGGAACAGAGGCAAAAGAAGTTCCGTGTATGTAACAATGCATACATCATTCAACCATTTCTGGTCCTGCAATGCATTGAAAGTGCACAACGAACAGCGAACAATGTTGTCTGACATTGCGATCTGCATTAACCATTACGCCCGCGAYAAATGTTCTGCACCAAACATGATAGACGACCATATATAAGAATCCGTATGMGCAGCGGGGAACACGGTGCATTTCCGATGCCCACCAAAACAGATCAGYGAACCGGGTAAACAYAAAACGCAGTTATGTGGAGAAAAGCATTTCGCTCTGATGGAACACAAAACGGACATGACTATTTTAGATGCAGACCGGGAAAAAAATCAGTAGGGAGCAATCGTCGGTGAAAAACCTTGTGSATATAGGATTTCGGACATAGGCCGGCRMTGGGCGGACCGAAGGAATGCAGCGTGCAAATGACGAAGTTCAGATCGGCAGCGAAGAAACAGGATGAAGGAAAAGCCCAAGGCAAAGCTGAGGAACGTACATTTGTCGGTTCGAGTTTATCAAGGCAAACTGTAACGCGAAGCTGGATGAAGCAGCTTGTAAAGCAGAATAAACTGTGTAACGAACAACAGGGATATGAGTGCAAATATAACGTAGTCAAAGAGTCTGCACAGCGCCGGGCGTTTATGCTGCTGCGGGCTTGTGTGGTCGCCCGTACGTCGTACGGGGGGTCCCCGTACGGGCCGTACGGGCCGTACAGACAGGCGTACATACGCCCGTACGGTCGTACGGACGCTCCCCGTACGAGCGTGCTACGGGCCTGTGGGAGGGTGTTGGGGGGGCTTTAAGGGTTGGGGTGTTGGAACAGGTCAGTGGGTGCGGTGCTGTGCAGTTGAAAAAAAAATATATATATATATATATTTTTTGAGAAAAAATGAGAAAAAAAAAAAGACTGGCCGTGTCCCCGCGGGCCTTAGCCTGGCACCCACTGCCGCGGCCCAGGGCAGTTTCGGAGGCCCTCCGAAACTGCCCTGGGCTGCGGCAGTGGGTGCCAGGCTGAGGCCCGAGGGGACACGGCCAGTCATTTTTTTTTTCTCATTTTTTCACCCAAAAAAAGAGGGAGGCATTGAGGCAGAGGCCAAGGACATCTACTTTAAAGTGAGGTTCTGGGCGTCAACACCCACAGTTTAGTGTTGTCGCCCACATTCCTGTTGAGGCTGTTGTCGCCCATGCAACAGTGCTCGTGGATGTTGTTGACG